TGCCGTCCAGGTGCAACAACGTTGAAATTATTTTACTGGTTGTTGCGTTTATTGATGTGTGGGGTATCATGTTGCAGTCGTTTGGGATCGAACTTGTTGCTGGGCTGCAATATTTGCACTCCAATAGCATTTTGTACTGCGATTTGAAGCCTGCGAATATTCTCATTGACGAATTCGGATCACTTAAGGTTCGTGGCTGTCATAAGTGCAGCTCATACGTGCAAATTATATATATTATTATTATTTGTGCGCTAGCTGGCGGATTTTGGACTGGCACGCCGCATTCCAGGAAGTGATGCAGCACCCGTACGACCAGTATGACAAGTATCTCGGATTTATGTTATTAAAATGGCTATTTGACACGATGTGTTCTGCGTAGCTTGCTCCAGGATCACCTCACTATATGGCGCCTGAGTTATTCCAGCAACCTGCAGTGCACAGCTTTGCGTCAGACTTTTGGGCATTGGTACAATTAACCTCCGTTCTTATAAATTGCATGGGTAATTAACGATTATACCTTGTTCGTTAGGGCTGTGTATTGTATGAACTCAGAACAGGCCGGCAACCATTTACACATACTAACTTTTCAGAGTTGGCACGAAGGGTACGTAACGAGAACATTCCGACGTATGCACTCTACTGCGCGTTAACCGATCATACTTTCTGTGTGCTTGAGATAGATTCAATCGGAAACGGTGGAATTCCCAGTACCTGGATGCGAAATGTCGCCTGCATTTTGCAAGCTATTAGAGCGGTTATTAGTGAAAGACCCTTATCAGCGAATCACCTGGTGCGTCTGACATACCTGAGTTCAGTGAACACAGTCATTTTCTGACCAAAGAATTACGACCAGGGATGAGCTAGTTGTTCACCCTTTTTGGGATGGTTTACCTCGCATCCAAAATGTGGTGATGCCTCCGCAGGAAATATTTGATAGAAACTCGCCCGTGTGGTAAGCTTTTCTGCGCGATATAAATCTGTATAGTGTTTGTCAGCTTAAATTGGTCTGAACAGTGAGCAGGTTACCAGCAATGACGGTTCAAATGGTCTTGACAACCCTGAAGAACCTCACGACAACGGTCATATTAGCGAACGTGAAAAAGATAGGGATAATGGTGACAGCAGCCTGGCTAATGCAGATGACGTTGGAGGGTTGCACGTGAATGGAATCGAGGAGACAACAACAGGAAACAATTGTGATGATGAAACTCACTTCTCGGATTCTGGAGATTCAGATGCGGATCAGACACCAAATGAAGCCACTCGCTTAGATATCACCTCAAGAGCCACTCATGATGACGTACGACCTGTCAGCGCGCCGAACTCACGAATACGCGCTCTACCGGACAACAATGAAGACCTCAACGATGACCAGAATGGTGTTTTGAACGAAGTCAGTCAACTGACTGATATCCGACATCGCTGGAGAGCTGCTCACGCACCTCATTCTGCACCTCCTGCTATTCGGAACGCCCCAAAAAGGAGGATATCAATAAACAACCTGTTCGATCGAAGTGGCGTACCTGGCAGTGGGCTCCGCAAGATATCCAAGCTGGTTTTTACTGCTGCAGATTGCCGTGTAAAGTCTATCATCGGAAATAAAAACGTCCAGATCGAAGACTTACCGCAGGTCCGTGCAGATCTTTTCCGGTTCCCCCTCTTAGCTCCAGAAAATCTACTATCGTGCTCGGCTGAGGCTTTGGAGAATCAGCTGAAAGAGATCTACATCAGTTTGAAGTTTTCTCACTCGGATGACCAAGCGAAACTTAGTGTCATGGCGTATTTATTCTCTCTCAGCTGCCACGCTCGACTGGCTCACGTGATTGTGAATAGCTCAATTCTTAAGCTTTTGATTCGAATGCTGTCGCATGAAGCCCGACTGGCTACTCCGAACAAGACCGTAATTTCAATGCTGTGTCTTGTGCTCGGCGTTCTTTTTCGATTCGCTACCTTCATTGCACCGTCTTCGCCGGATCAATTGCAGGTGCTTGTGAAGTTACTATTGGAAGTTATTGTCCGCCCTGATGGTCTTGAAAACAAGAACAGTACCGACATTCAAGGGTTACAACCTCGCCCTCTAGCTCTCGCGTGTCTTGGAGAATTACTTTTTTACATTTCAACACAACAAGAGTGGGAATTACCGATGGAAGGCGTGGACACTGTGCTTGCATGTATAGGAGATACGAATGTAGTACTCCGTTATTATGCGGTGAGGACGCTTGGCAATATGCTGATTCAGTGCACAGATTCCCTGCTATCCCGACTGATTAGCGAGAAAATTGTGTTGACGTTAATGCGAGGCCTGCTGCAACACGCGACCTCGGTGTCAGAAGATGAAAATGGAGAGTTAAACGTGGCTATCGCGCTGCGAACAGCTACAACTGAGGCGCTAGCGCAGGTGTTGCGACATGTTCGCACTCCGTCTTCAACTGCGAGTCTTTCGTCTCGGTTGAAGAGATCGATAATGCTGTTCTTTGCCAAACCGGACATCCTTAATGCAGTGTGGCGAGGCGTGGAAAGTATGAAAGAATCTACCGAGCTGGCGATCGCATCGTTGAACATTATAAACTCATTTTTGGACATGAAGCTTGGTACTGAAAGAGAAGCAGAAGCGGCTGCGATCAAGTCAAGCCGCACGTTGCTGCTGGAACGTGTCGTGGCGTTCCCGACAATATGTAAAGTTTTGGAGATTGATACGAGCACGAGAGGAGATGATGTTGATGACGATAGTCTTTCTACGTTGCGAGCGAAAGGATTGGTCATGATCCACTTGGGTGTACAGTTGAATCGCAGCTTTCTACTCTCATTTGTGCAGTATGAATCCCTAAATATTGTGGAAAAAGTGATTGACCCCATCGCTGACCAGCTCTGTGAAGATGAAAACAATCCCGGGTCAATATCGCCGGAAAAGAAGCTATCTGCATTTGAAATGTACCTCGCGCAGTGTGCGATGAATGTGTGCAAGCTGTCGATTCGAATGGCTTTAAAACTCGGAGCAGTGTGCTTCTCTACGCCTGAAAATGGTGATGGTGAGATCACGAGTAGCAACAACACAGAGAATCGATCCCCTAGGATATCGCCAATCCCGTTCCAGCTTTTTGGTGGACTGCTACACAATCCAAACTGCCGACAACAATTGTTAAACTATTTCGTGGCAAACGACAGCAAGCAGTACACGTTCTTCCTACGCCTGATGGCCAAGTTACTTACGTCGTTTCCTGATGAGATTTTGGTCATACCAGGGAGCACTGATAAAACGACTGTAGCTCGATATGTGTCGGAGATTTTAGTGGACTTGTTCGAACTCGCAGCTAAGGAGACGAACGATATTGTGTTAGTGGAGAAGCAAATGCTGTTCACTCAGTTGTTACCTGCTATTGTAAAGCATGTAAATGGAGAATCTGAGGGTGCTGCGGTGAATTGTCTTCGGATCCTTCACGTTGTCCTGCTGGATTTCGACTACGATGATGACAATGGTGACTACGAGTTTTTCGATCCATTCGTTCGATCGATACTTTTCCCCCATCTTAACACGTTGTTCAGGAGTCCGATGGGTGTGGTCGAAGATGTTTGGAGCTTGTCAAGTGAATTAATGTTTGGCTTACTCTCTAGTGACTCTTCTCTCCTTGGAGAAGTAGAGGACTTGAACATTGTACCCACGGTTATGAGTTTATTACAGGTACCGGACGAGTTCCAGTCGCTACCTTCACATGCTACGCAACTCGTCCAAATGCTTCTGGATTCCGCTGATGTACGCTCGGAATTACTGTACGAGTCAGGCATAACAAGGAGTGTGGTTACTGGATTAATATTCGCTTCGAAACACAAAGAGCAAGATGGAAATCTGCTAGATTTGTCGATAATCCTGCTGAATTTGCTTCACCACCAATTCGAAAAAAACCGACAATCAGGACGATCACCAGCTCCAGCGGGGTTTCATGAGCTGGTTGCTTGTGGGCCGTTGATGCTTCAGTTTTGCACTTCGAGCGACGTTGATCGTAAAATGAATGGACACTCCGAATACGTAGCACCCGAAAAGGATACTGCAAAGAGTCGAACGAATGATGAACTCGCGGATGTAGCCTCCCGTTGCCTCGTCTTCCTGTCGCAGGTAAGTGGTGGGCTGTTAGATCACGAGAATTACACGACTGAGCGACTAACAGCTCAATATGTTTGCCGCACAGATATTTGGCGAGCAGTTGAATGGCGTATTTTTTTCTCAAAGCAAGAACGTTCCCTCGGGTTTTAACGATTCCGATCTGAGGTAAGTTCCAACAACTCCAAACTAGTTTCAACTTTTCAGTTTCTGACACGTTGATGTTTTGTACAGTTCGCTTTCGAGATGCCTGGAAGGCAACATGAATGGAATCATTCTGCTACGCGTGCTACATACACTGAAAACTTGCCTTCGCTGTGAAACCAAAAGGTACCAAGTGAGTAACTGGTTTGCTGAGCACAGAAACGTTCTCAGCACTGTGGAGGCTTTGGCTACTCAAAAGCAGACTTCTCGGTTGGATGGAGCTGTAAGCGAAGCTGAAAATCACCCGAATCGTCCATCGATAGGAGAGCAGATATCCAAGACTGCGGCATCAATCATGCGACTCTGCCGTACTACAGACGTACGATGAATATTGAAAAGTGTTCGAACTGAATATGACAGTCAAGATCACGCGATTCGTCTACAAGAATGTTCATTATCCACCAAAATGTCGTCTTCTTGATCGGTATATGATCGGCAGTCTGGAAGAGGACTACGCATAGTGCTGCTTCGATTCTTCCCATTCATGGTTGGGATAAATCTGAAGGTCCAGACGCTCTGCAACCTCGTTAAGTTTCGAGTTGTCGCCCTCGAACAGTCCCTTGAACACCACGTTCACAATGTGTTCGTAGCGCTCCTGCAGCAGTCTAATCTCGTGGGGTGTATCGGGCACCACACGCTCGACAAGGACAGCCAAAACCAAGCACACCTGACACGCCACTACGAAGCTGAAGGCTCGGACAGTTCCCGTCTGGTCTTCAAACAAGTCGGACGTCCAGAGAATAAGAGCCGAGTTTGTACCGAGCGCGATGTACGTCATGAATCGGAGAATGTAAAACCAGACGCCAATGTCCTTCGCCGGGTGGGGGAACGGTCGACGATGCACAAAACAGAGCTTCACGGCGTCGACATGAACTTCTAGTACGTTGTTGGCTAATGCAAGCAGAGGCGTCAGCGGGAACGCCACCACGAACAAGTTGATAAAGCCGTACTGGATGACCATCTCGTTATAGTCCTCGAACGCCTCGTTGCTCTCGTAAGGCACCAGCTTCGCCTGCTCTTCGATGTAGTTGTGGCCAGTCTTTTCTTCGGTGTACGCTGCTTTGCGCTCAGCGAAGAGCTGGTAGCGGTATTTCAAGTACGGCACCACCACTTCCGTCGTGTTGCCCACCACAATGCGGATAATGAACAGAGTCAGCAGCTGGTCGCGCAGTTCCTGCATGCAGTCGTCTTCATACAGACAAGAACCTTCAGCAATACGCTTGACGAACGCAATGTAGAAAAACGAAGCGAACGAGTTGCAGAACTGGAACAGGAAGACCTTGATGACCAAGTAGTTTTCGTACTCAGCGTCTGTGCGGTGGTTTTCGAGGTCATTCAGCTTACGCGCCACGGTGCGGTAGACCGTATTGAGCACGAGAATCTGGATGGCGTTAACCACAGTGACACCGAACGTCAAGGGCGTCTGATACTTGGTGTTAATGTTGTTCTTCTCCAGGTTGTCACTGTCGTTGATCCAGTGCTTCAAGACGAACAGACCAAAGAGAGCGACAATCACAATACCGACCATAAACGTCACGACCAGGATGGACACGATGAAGGCACGTCGGCGCTTCATCTTGCTCTCGAATGTCACCTCCTCGGCGTCAGTGACCGGGTGGTAACTTTTAGTTCCGCGAAATTGAGGGCGATACCGGAATGATTCCTGCAAACCACTGAGACCCCAGAGCGAGTCCAATAGACCATTCTTACGCTTCCACAGCTCGGAAAACAGTGACGACCATAACACCACGAACACAGCGAAGGCGATGAGAATGTAGCCTTGCTGGTTGGTACCCGTGACAGCCTGACGCGCTTCGATATACACAAATGTGATGATACCCGCGACTGCCGGGAAGACCAGCATCTTGGTGTAGAACTCGAGCCAGGCGAAATACAGCGCGATCTTCTCTCCGAAGTAGTAGCGGATCTTGTGCAAAGGTTGGTACAACATGGTCCAGTGCAGAGCCCACGAGTGCCGCAGGTCGTGCAGCGCCTTCGCGTCGTGGAGAGCGAACATTTGACCCTCCAGATACCCAGCAGCTTCCAGAGCGTCTGCGTTAATATGACGCTCTACGATTCCTTCTGCGAGACGAATACGATCTTTTTGCGAGAACAACGTCTCCTCCTTCTTCTGTCCCCACTTGATCGGGTAACGTCGGTAGAAGGGCTGGTACTTCTCCTCATGGCGATACTCTGCGAACGGAGCAAAGTACGTCAACGGATCGTAAGGTAGAGCAAAAATCGACGTCACAAAGCGATCCCAATGGTTTCCCTGGACACGACGACAGGTGTCGTCTTCGACAAATAAACCATCAGCTTCTTCGGTATGCCCCCAAATATCTACAGCCTTGCGTAGTTCCGGATGGAACTCTTCTCCGCGTGAAACTAACAACGGATCCATCTCTGGATATTCGGCATCTTCATTAGCACAGCCGCGAGTATGTCTTAAATGGTCAATGGAGTTCTGCCATTCTTTATCTCCCATCTCACGCTGCAGAGTCTTGAGCTTCTTCACGTGTAATGTCTTGTCGAACGGTTTGTTGCTGACCTGCAGTCTGTAGTTGGTACGGTCTGCCTCGATTCTGAGGTCATCATTGTCTGCCTTGATAGTCATAATGATCTCGTCAGCGTCACAGCTTAAGAACATGCGCGTAGTAAGGCCACATGCGAGCTGCACACGACGCGCGATGGCGGTGGCCACGAGCTCGCAGAACCGCGTCTCGGTTGTGGCCTCAGTGTTACCGATGAATTGCTCGTATTCCTTCTTAAGCAGCTGCTCCTGCGTCTCTAAGCGGCGCTGCTCGCTCTCCTCGCTATGATCATTACTCGAGTCCATGACGACGTCGCAGCCGCGCTCGTCCAGGTAGCAGCGCGGCGTGCGCAACACACGCTGGAACGGGTCCACTACGATTTTGTTGGAGCGGTGGCTGCGGTCCGGGTCCTTGCCCATCATGAGGTGCACGAAGCTGTCTAGAGTGAAGTCGTCGGGCTTCTTGAGCTCGCCGCCTTCACGTCGCGGGAAGACCATGACCAAGTCGTGGTCGTACAGCGTCTTGTCGCTGCTGGTGGAGCGCGGGACGGACGACTGCGCGCTTTGCATGGAGCTGAACTCCATGTCCACGGCCGTATGCGCGGCAGGCGAGGAAAACGCGTCATACGCGTCAGAGGACGACGGCATTGCAAGAGTCTTATCTGCCCTACGCTGCAAATCCGAAAGTGAGCACCGCGGTGCCGGTCCTCTTCGATACAACAACTGCGACGCGAAGAAGGTGCACGCGCTTAAGAGGCAAATGCCGTTGACATGTGACAACAACCGGTGACTCACGGAGATGGCTGAAAGATGCCAATATACATCGCGTTGGAATTCGTCTACAGACGATGGAAAGGATTCAGAAGAAGAGTGCGTAATTGGTCAAGGTGGACGGACGGGCGGATGATTAACTCATGGAGAAGTTCGGAGCGGATCTGACTACGATGTCACACAGAGTTCACGCCTGACTCCGCCCGTCCGAGGTGGTCTATCGCACGTTGTCGCTGCTCGTAATTGTCGGCAGACTTCCGATGGACGATACGACCAGGATATGCATGAACCATGCTCATGCCATGAATACTATGAACTTCATACTATGAACTTCATAGTATGCAGTGTATGCTTCATGGTAGGTCATGTGCAGTATCAAGCAGCCTTGAACCAACAACAATTTGAATAATTGGTTTTACTAGTATGGCAGCATCCTCAGGCGAGTGCTCGCCACGGTTGCTAAGGGGGCAAGCTGAAATATATTTTCTATAAGAAAATATTTTCGGCGTCGCCCCCCCCCCCAAACGTGTTATTATATTGTACAGGCTGAAAGGCTTCACATACTTCAAGAAGAAGCAGCCGTGAAGCTCGACGATCTGCTCGTACCTTACGCTCCGCCAAAGGAGGTGAGTCCTCCCTCCTCGCTAAATAAGATAAGTAACCACGTGTATGTAACTCATGCTGTGCTACTGGTGGACGTGTTTAAGCTTTCACTATGCCAAAGGAGCGCGCCCGTAGAGAGAAGCGGTCGCTTCATCAGCCTGGATCGCTGCTGTGCAAGTATCCCTCCCGCTGCAACAATGAGAGGGCGATTAAGGCAAATGGAGGGCGGCACTGGCTTTGCGATGAACATCGTGATCATCAGAACGCTCTTCAGCGCGATCGCTATCGCAGAGCAGCCGCGAAGAAGAAGAGCTCATGCAAGGATGCATCCACTACTAGGGCTACAGTTACGGAGCCAGGACTGGATCAAAATAAAAGGGAAACTATCAGTCAATTACCAGATCGAGCAAGCTCACTCGCTTCGTGCCAAAATCCAGCGTCACTGAAAGCTTTAGAAAATAAGCTCTTTTCCCGCAGCGATGGGGATGCATCCGACGCAAAGCGTGTGGATGCACTTGCGAGGAGCTGTAGCCCTGCCACCGGAAACTGCGTAG